AAAAAAAAAAAACCATAAAACTTGAACATAAATCAACAAATTACGCGCAATGTGATCACTACATGATGTAATACATCGAAATTTTGCTCATTCTATCTTGTCCTTGATCTCTCTTCCATCAATATATCTCCTTCATCTTACGAATTTGTTCAGCCAAATGCTCGCGCGAGGCTTTGGCATCTTCCTCCGTTTCAGTCGAGCTGGTGATCCTAGCTTCGCAGTCGCCTCTCTCAGTTTCGACTCGATCTAAATAAAAATATTTCCAGAAAAAAAAGTCACAAAATTGTTTAAGGTAAATTTTCTATCTATTGCGTTTTGACAAATCCTAATAGATAATTTTTACCATTAATCCCTTTAGAGATTACTACAATATCATAAAAAGAAGATAAAACACCATATTAGGCATTTCCTTAATATGCTCTTCATCGAATCTTTGGTGCTTTTATCAAATACGACGTGCCTATGTCCACACTTTCCGAGAATTTCTTACAAAAAATACCACATTAACTAATACGAGAGACGAACAACATAATTCTCATCTTGTAAATATATACATCGTCATTCTTCATGATTATATTTGATAAACAAAACACAAAAAGCTTTTCTACAGTAATAAATATACCTTTAAAGGACATAAGTAATCATCCAGTGAATCTTTCAGTAATCCCACCTCTTTCAATAACTCGACCATCCTACTATTCTCGTTGTTCACATTAGGATTCGCAGTCCTGAACCTTTCATCTCTTAATTGGACAATGTATTCCAATATTTCAATCAGATCACAAGTCCAGTACATGATAGAGTTCAAGCAATCAATCCATTCTAAACCTTGAAGTCCATACAGAAAAAATCAAGTTGCAGAGCTTATTCATAATCATACTTATTAATCTCTTTATTTTTTCTCAGAAAAATAAAAAGGGAAGAAAAGAGCCAAACATCTCTTACCAAAACTCTTTTGATATATACAAGAAATATTAATGCTAAATTATAAAAATTCACAAATGTTAAAAAGAAAATTACTACATCTACATTACCTCCCGATTGCATCATAAGTTTCAACAAGATTGTTGTAGACCCCCAACGTGTCGGTACAGTAGGCCCAACTGATTCAACGCGATACCGAAAATGGTAGATTTCTTTTTCCCCCGTCACCTGAAACTTCTGAACCGCGATCCTGAGGGACTCGTACGACTACAAACTTTCACTGTCGCCCGGAGATCCGTCGGTTCACCCCGGACAGCTTGAGAAGAGGATTCCCCCGCCTTCCGCTTGCCCGTCACTGAAGTTCCCGTCCTCACAGCATTTTCTTTGCCCTGAGTTTCTCGTTTTGATCCCTTTGGAGTTGAAACTCTTTTAGGAATTTCGTCGAACACCTTACGGGCGGAACTTTGGCCTTGACAATGGTTGTAAAATTTAAAACTATCGTGCCCGGAGTAGGTCTCCTCACACCACAAATGCTCAACAATTGGAATTCAAGAGCTAAACGTACCTTGAATTCAAAATTGAACCGAATATACTTGGTCGCCGGAATAACTTCGGGCCCCGAATCGATATATTAAAGGAGTGATGGCGGTCGGGTGCGCTAGAGGAAAAGATCGGAGATGACGGTGATTGGCCGGATTATTGATGAAGAAGACCGGAGAATGGACATAGCCGGCGTGGAGATGGAGGAGAGGCCAATGGAGATGAATGGGGACCATTGGCGATGGAGTGATGAAGTTAGAATCTTCCTCCTTTTTTTCTTTTTAAGTTAAAACATTAGTAAGGATAAGATTGTATTTTTACCCCTAAAATGGCTATTATTCATTCTTTTCATAAAGATGGCTAATTTTCATCTTTTGCTTAAAAAAAAGCTATAAATCGCAGGCACTGAAATAAATATGGGGCTAAGATAAATATTAATTATCCTACCAAAACTAGAATGCAAATAATAATAATAAAAGAAATAAATAATTAAACTAATGATGCTAGACGATCATGCTTGTCCAAAATAGCTAATACAATCTCGTCTTCATCATTCCCCCAACTTGAAGGCCATAAAAACAACTGTTGCACTAACTCCACGGAACGATCTCGACCCACATGGCCAGCCCCATGAAGACCGCCAACAAGCCTGAGGTGAAGACTACAGCCCTCTACACACATGACTTTTTGGACATGATTTATTTTAAAATAATTAAAAACATGATTTAATACTAACACAACAACAACAACAACATTAACATTAAAAGTTTACTGAACGAACTACAGAGGATAAGTTTACTTTATACTAACTGATGCTAGATGATCAGGCTTGTCCAAAAAGGTCAATGCAATCTCGTCTAGCATCAGTCAGTATAAATAAACTTATCCTCCATGGTCCATTTAGTACACTTCTAATGTTGTTCCGTTGTTATTTTGTTATTATTAAATCATGTTTTTAATTATTTCAAAACAAATAATTTATTTTCTAAATAATTATAACTCTATCATAAAATACAAATATTAAATTTTATTCACATGTTAACAACTAATATCAAAAAACTAATTTTACCAAATATTCTTATACAAATAACTATTTATATATATTCATAATTAAAAACTACAACGAAGTAAAAGATATGCATAACCTATTTTTACCAAACAAGGTCAAAGTAAGTTAATTTAAAAAAAAAAATATATTGATTGAGTTTGGTTTGAATGAGATTTTGAGTTTGTATTTAATTAACATTTATAATATAATGATTGAAGTTGATATGATGTGAAAGTAGAAGATAAGTGATTTTAAGAGTATCCAGAATCAATGGAATGCGGGCTTTCATTTAAATGACAGTTGAACAATCAATGGAATGCGGGCTTTCATTTAATGTTTGGGCCCCTTAATTCGTTCATTGCCTTGAACTGCACCTTTTGGTT